CCCCGGACCCCCAGACTCGGAGGAGCACAGGGATGTCAGTCTTGTTTATGAAGCAGGGTATAGAAGTACATTATTGAAATGAAAATACTATTTATTTACTTTTACAAAACAGTGAGCAGCTGGGCAGCTGCAGCATGTGTATTGCAGGACATGTGTAAGCGTGCAAGCGTCTTTGAGTTGTAGAAAAGCGCTAGGCCTATAGGCTATAAATATAATGTATTATTATTATTATTAGGTTATGCCCTATGTGTTGGACATGTGTGGTTGGACTCTGTCTCACAGGCAGGTTGCAGTGTAACATCAGAGGAGACTGGGCCAATTGTACATTCTCAAACTGCACCACTTAGAACTAACTAAACAATGCATAGATTATTTTTATATAATTGTATTCAATAACTGTAAGAAATTAAACAGTATGAAGTGATTTGTAAATAGGAATACAGATTTGACCTTAATGTTTTCATAAATATATTTTTCTCCCAGTTTGACTTATTTTGACCCTCTCAAAGAACCGGAATCGAGAACCGAAATAACCGGAATCGAAAAGCAGAACCGGAATCGTTAAAATCCAAACGATATCCAACCCTATGTGTGATGCAGTAAAATCTATACCACTCACTTACGTTAGCGGTGTCGTAAAAAACGTGGGAAAATACGATGGCGAAGAAGAAGATTCCAGTGGCCCCAATTTTTGGTCCATTCTGGACAAGTGAAAAATGTATTCGGACAAGTAAATTGCCAAACTCACTTGTCCATGGACAAGTATTCTCTAAAAACTTTTTCTCACACTGTATAAGTAACATTTTTAAATGTAAATAAAGTGTCAGTCAGTCTCAAAACAATATAATAACAATGGCAATATATATAGATATAATGCTGTCAAATTATCGCGTTAACGGCGGTAATTACATTTTTGAATTAATTGCAAAATATTTAACGCATTTAACGCATGTGCAGAATGGGCCCCGCCCCATACATCCCACCAGTGGCAGCGCCAGGGTATGGCTGGGGTTCACCATACCATGAAATGGCTTAGCCCCACCATGAAAAATGATGTTAAAGTAAGCAAAATAAGTCTGCCAACTCGCGGAGTAAATTAAACAGACAAGCAGTTAGTCAGATTGATTTCAGTAGCCACTTGTCTGGAAATACCGAAGACCAGAAACGGTTTTGAAAACTTTTGTCACGTAGTGATCGTCTTCTCAATAGAACATCTTTGATAATGTCTTCTGGCCAATCAGAATCAAGATAACGGCGTGGTGTTGTTGCAGGAAGTCCCGACGGAGAATACTTTGCTGTTGTGTCACAAAGCGCATTTGCGTACGACAGAGTCGGTCTCCGTGTGCACAGACAGGGCTGCTGTTAACGTCGGTCTGTACAACGAAATTGTGCCAAAACTACGCCAACCGGCTGCGGAGGGAGACCCCCCCCCCTTCACTGGAGAACTGCGCTAAAACAGCTGATCACAACGTTCACACTGTGGTCACGAAGTACTCCACTTGCCCCCCCCCCCCCCTGTCGACTTTCCTGAAGTACTCCCCCGTTGATAGAAATCAACATGTAATGAATTAAGACCCCACGTTTGATGATTGATAGGTGTGTGGGTTGTCTTCATTTTGGACATGCAGAAAAATGTTATAAACATACATACTGTATGTTAAATGGATATATCCGCCTTCTTTCATTTATCTTTCCATTCCCACAACAATATACATAAAGAAATGACATATTTTGGACATAGTTCGAATGGTGATTAATCATGATTAATACATTTTTAAGCTGTGATTAATCTGATTAAAATTTGTAATCGTTTGACAGCCCTAATATATATATATAATAACTGTTAGGGAAATAATTGTCCTAGACTCCTAGATATGACGTACAGGACCAACCCTGACGTCTGTTTAATCTCCTTTAAGGACATAGGCTTGCTTGAGCCATAATGTTATTGTTCCCCATTCTGTGGACCGGTCAACACTAGGTCACAGATGGTCTGTTGTTGTGGGTGCACTGGGACAACTTCCTTCTTTATTGCTTATGGACTCCAAGGTATGACATCTTCGAGGCCATGGGTGACGGACGCAAGTGACTCAGTGTGCCCAACTGTCTAAAGCTATCTTATCAAAATATGTTGATTACTCTCTGTGAAACCAGTTAAATGGGCTAACAAGAGAGAGGCGCTCCAGAATTGACGTGGCAACCCATCCGTGCAGTCTCACCGAGGCTGCTGTGATTTGTGATGTGAACTCTCCGGCCGTAACTCCAAATAAACCTCCAGTGTTTTGACATCAAAGCTCCTGCTCCTACCGTGTCTCCTTCCTGAGTCGGTGACTCCCACTGCATTGCTACACAGAAGTTTCCCTTACAATAACAATTAAAACAAACTGTCCCAGGTGTAGGGATAGGCTCTGCAGCAGATACACCGTAGTGCCAAAGTTAAGTGTCAGTAACAGTGGCAAAAAACTACAGGGAGGAAGGCCTGTTGGATTGAACTAGCTCGGAAAGCACTCCCAGAAGCCCAATCTGAAAGGTGTTTTGCTGTTCCACCTGCCGCGCCAACACGTCCACCTGCCGCGCCGACACGTCAGCCTGGCGCGCCATCACCATGAGCAGCTGTTCCTCCGCTTCCTGGGCCTTGCATGAATGCACCAGCTGTTCCTCGCGAATCTCCTTGCTGGCCTCAGCACGCTGGTCCTCATTTTCCTTGCCGAACTCAGCACGCTGGTCCTCCATCGCCACGATGGTGTCAATTAAGTTATCAGTCCGAGCCCGCTTTCCTATGAGGAGAAATATACAAGATCAGATTCATCGCCATGTAGTTTTATAACATACTAGGAATTTGTTTACTAGTAGGTTGTAAACGGAGACAACATTGGACAGGGTGCAGACAGGGACAGTGTACAAAATGCAGGTGTAAAGTAGAAGATACGATATAATAAAATAGCTGACGCTCAAAGTGCCTTTATTTATTGTTTTATATTTTTGAAGAGTGCTTAATGTATCCTTGAACTTTGTTTTATTTTATCAAAAAAAATGATACGTTTTCTTGCCGGAAGTCATGTGACCTCTAGCCCGGATGTTTGTGAGAGAGTGAAAAGGGCGCTAAAAGTGTAAACGATGTATTTTCACGGTGTTTCATAATTGTACCAAGAAGGAAATAAACGTGATTAGTGATCAGTTCGATGCGTAACGTTCTTTCAAGACCAGAGTAGTTACAGTTTGTACGTACTTTTGCGTTTGGATGGTGGAAAGGGAGATGAGCAAGTGCTGCTGTTCCGGATCCGGAGGGGAAAGCTCACTTGTTTCCAATCCAGCCTCGCCTGAAACACACGATTAGTGCCATGAGTTAGTGAAGCAAATTACAGAAACATTACACACTTATTCACAAGTCAAAACGTTTTCATAGCGGCCGAGAATGATGTTATTAGCCATGTTATTAGCCATGCTAGGCTGAACTGGCTAACACTGTTAGCCAGTTCAGCCTAGCATGACTAGCTCGATCTACTGAGCAAATACAAGTACATCTGAGACCAGTATTGTGCAGATTAAAACAGTGCAGTGCATGTATTTTATTTTACCTTCGTCGTCGTCGTCGCACAATTCACAGGCCACTGAATCCGCCGTTTTCAGCGGCCTCCCACACCAGCGCGCCCGAATCGATGGTCGCTAAAGTGCTGGAGAATGAGGGTCTGTGGCCGAGCAGAGCATCCAATTGATCATACCATTTACTGGTCTTCCGGCCGTTACCACTCTTGGTCTTTTATTTTTTTTGTAGTCCTGCTTTAGTTTCTTTATTTTGTCCCGCCGGCATGAGTTTGCGCTGTGGAAGATTCCCATGTCGGCTAACTTTACCGAACAACGCTCATATATTTTGCTGTTGGAAACTGCCTTCAGTCGAAGCTGCTGGAACCCACCCTCCGAGTAAATCGCCAGAAGCGCCGACACATCCTCATCACTCCACCGCTCCGATGATTTTCTTATTCTTATTGTTGCTATAATAACTGCTTTCACAAAAGTACTCTCTCCGTTGGTGCGCTGGGCTAATAATGCGAGCAAATAAAATGGCGGCTTCACAAAACTTTTTGGGACTTTTACGGGGCGTGGTTTGCATTCCACCCAGCCAATTAGACGTATGAACTTTTTTCTCCCACGAAAGTACTTGCTCTCTAGCTGGGACGGAAAACGGGGTAAAAAAAGGTTCTGATGAACTAATTTGAGTTCCGTCTCTTTTTGGTGTGAACGCGACATTTCGGAACTATCGCGGAACTAAAGTGGGAAAAGTACTGCGGTGTGAACGCACCTCTTCTCCCCCCTCGTCCCCCCTCATCCTCTACCCCCCTCGTCCTCGTCCCCCCATTGCATCCTTCTTATCGGATCTGCAAAAACTAGATATCATATGAAAGCTGTGATTCATCACTGGGCGACCAAAACTCAGAAAGTGAAGGCGAAACCAGACAACACACAACTTCACTTTACGGAGCCAAACTTCCGAACCTCCCCTCGATTCTATTGGCTCTAACGGTTCAAAAGAGATGTCAATTATCAACATCGACCGAGGGGGGCCAGAGATAGGGAAAATCCACCCAAATGACCCCAGAAGTGTTTTTTTTGTTGCTAAACCTCTCTTAAAAAGGTCAAATGTCACTTATTTGGCATCAATCTTGATACAGGGTACTTATTATATGATATAGTTTGGATTTCTAAAGCTTTTAGTACCATCCCATCATTCAAGGGTGGTTTTCACTATAAGTAATGTTTTATTTTTGGACGGACACTATCATTTACATTTTTTTAGCCATGTAAAACTTTAGTTTTAATTAAATAACCCAATATGGAAACCTCCTCAGTCTCTGGTTGTACATTGTGCCAGTTCTGGTCATCCACAGTCCTCTCTTTACTTGGACCAAATATTTTTTTATCACAACAGTCAAGTTATCACATTATATACGATGTGAGACGGGGTTCTATTTGTCCTTTGAAACATAGGCTTAGTCGGTTGATTTAAGCTCCAAAACTTTATTTATAACAGCAACAAAAAAAATATATACTGTTTGATAAAAGTGAAACATTATAACTTAAATAAACAAAATCAAAGTTAACAAATAGGGTTGTCTATCACTCATGGAGTAAACACATTCTCGCTGTTGCCTTCACTGCAACAATCTCCTGAACACATTATCCTCCCCCTCCACGAGGTTGGCGATGTGCGGCAACCTGGAAAGGTAATCAGCCACTACATTCGATTTGCCAGATCGGTGACGGATAATACATTTGAACGGTTGGAGTGAGAGGTACCAATGGGTAGGACGGCTGTTGTGATCTTTCATGGCCCCTTAGTGCCACCCTCACACAGACTACTATCTAAGTCTGGGAGTGGTTGGACTCCAGCTTTCGCTTGGGCTCTAGTTATCATTGGGCCAGAAACATTAACATTCCCATTTCCCCCAGAGTCAGTTTTCACAGAGAGATCTTTTTCATGCAGCAAATTCAAGAGTACTGGTAAATCCCATCCCAGGATTGCATCAACCGGCAAGTTCTGTACCACCCCCACACTCAACAGGTACGATTGTCCATCAATGATCACGGATAGGTCTGCTTTGGGATAGGGATACTTATCCCCGTGAACACACAAAATGTCTGTTTGTCTGCTGTAGTCCATAGCTCCAATTGGCACAAGTCTTTGCTTCACTAGAGACATGAAGCTACCAGTATCCAACAAAGCAGTGATCTGCTGGCCATTAACAGTGACAGCTGTATGACGTTGAACACGTTCCTCTTGATCCCCAATGAGCCCCAACTCTGCCCGGGGTGCATAGCAAGCGCCTGTGACCTTAGCTTTGCGTAGGGGACACACATAAGCTATGTGGCCTGGCTGATGGCAGTAATAGCAAATGAAATCCTTACCTTACCTTGTTGGTTTGGGGCAGTGCTAAGATATCCTGAGAACTCTGGTCGATTCTCTCTCTTTGCAGGGCTGGTGTGCTGGTTGGTGTGTAAAAGTGGTTGAGCGTGCAGGTGGTCCTCCTCTGCGGGCGTTGATGTACTGGAGCGCCAGCTTGGCAGCCGCAAGACAGTCTGTAGGCTCATGCTCCTTCACCCAGGTCCTCACCTCCGGTGAGAGTATCCGAAGCATCTGCTCCAAGATGATGGCCTCTGCAATTTCCTCCTTGGTGTGCTGCTCTGACCGAATCCAGCGCCGGTAGAGACCTTTAAGGCGATGGTAGGTCTCGATGGGGCTGTCTTCAGACGGTACCACCATGGACCGGTACTGCTGCCAATACGTCTCTGGGGAGATGTCGAATTTTGTCAGCAACGCTTCTCTCAGGTCTCTATAGCAGTGGGCTCTCGCCTGGTCCATTGCAGTATAGGCCGCATAGTGCCTCGACTCAGGCGTTGGCTGATCAGACTGGCTATCTGACTCTGATTGAGGAAAAGGATTACCAACTGGAACAGAAGTCCGTAGGTCTCGGAGCTCTGCCAACAGGAACTCCTCTCGCCTTTGCTGCCCTGATAGAAAGTATTTCATCAGTGACAGTTCTCCCCCTGGTTCACTGGTTGACCCTGAGGCCGTAGGAGCTGCTGGGGGCATCCAGGAACTGTCTTAATCATCGTCCTCCGTCTCCCATGCCTGCTCTGATTTGCCAGTTGCGTTCTTCTCCTGCTGCTGACGCTGGGAACGTAGTCCTGTGCGGTGCTTCGTAACGCGGATTAGCTTTTTCCGACTAGCCATCCCACTTCTGACACCATATGTGACAGGGTTCTATTTGTCCTTTGAAAAATAGGCTTAGTCGGTTGATTTAAGCTCCAAAACTTTATTTATAACAGCAACAAAAAAAATATATACTGTTTGATAAAAGTGAACAGGTATAACTTAAATAAACAAAATCAAAGTTACCAAATAGTGTTGTCTATCACTCATGGAGTAAACACGAACACCCAACTCTGCTCATTGCCCAAAGAGTTTAAACCTAACAATAATCACTATCATCAGTGTCAGGTTCAGAAGAGTCTCCAAGGTTGTCCTCAGTCTCTGGTTGTAAATGTCTCTCTGGATCTGAGTTCCTGGCTGGTTCTGGTCCTCCACAGTCCTCTCCATCAGCTTCTGTTTCCATGTGTTCAGCTGAGCTGCTGGCTGGAGGCTCTGCCTCTCTGTTCTCCTCAGTTTGAGTTTGATGAAGCTGTGAGGACTGACGACCAACACACTTATGGCTTTTGACCTGATGACTCTGTGTGAATCGTTTTTCACAGAGACTGCAGCTGAATGGTTTCTCTCCTGTGTGGATTCTAATGTGGCCCTTTAATGCTGAACTCTGTGCAAAGATCTCTTACAGACTGAGCAGCCGAATGGTTTCTCTCCTGTGTGGGTTCTCATGTGGGCCATTAAATGTCCTCTCCATTTAAAAGATTTCTTACAGACTGCACGGCCAAATGTTTTCGCTCCTGCACTACGTCCTGAATCACTGACAGGGTCTTGTTTATTTCTCTGAGAGTTTGAACCTGGTTCTCTGGTGTCCTTCCAATCTCCGCTGTCTTCAGTGTCAGGTTCTGAAGAGTCTTCAATGTCAGGTTCAGAAGAGTCTCCAGGGTTGTCCTCAGTCTCTGGTTGTAAATGTCTCACTGGATCTGAGTTCCTGGCTGGTTCTGGTCCTCCACAGTCCTCTCCATCAGCTTCTGTTTCCATGTGTTCAGCTGAGCTGCTGGCTGGAGGCTCTGCCTCTCTGTTCTCATCAGTTTGAGTTTGATGAAGCTGTGAGGACTGACGACCAACACACTCATGTCTTTTGACCTGATAACTCCAGGTGAATCTTTTGTCACAAACACTGCAGCTGAATGGTTTCTCTCCTGTGTGGATTCTCATGTGGCTCTTTAATGCTACTTTGTGTGCAAAATATTTCTCACAGACTGAGCAGCTGAATTGTTTCTCTCCTGTGTGGATTCTCATATGGGCCATTAAATGTGCTCTCTGTTTAAAAGATTTCATACAGACTGAGCAGCTGAATGGTTTCTCTCCTGTGTGGATTCTCATATGGGCCATTAAATGTCCTCTCCGATTAAAAGATTTCTTACAGACTGAGCAGCCAAATGTTTTCTCTCCTGCACAATGTCTTGAATAACTGACAGGGTCTTGTTTATTACTCTGAGAGTTTGAACCTGGTTCTCTGGTCTCCTTCCAATCAGCACTGTCTTCAGTGTCAGGTTCAGAAGAGTCTCCAGTCTCAGGTTCTGAAGAGTCTCCAGGGTTGTCCTCAGTCTCTGGTTGTAAATGTCTCTCTGGATCTGAGTTCCTGGCTGGTTCTGGTCCTCCACAGTCCTCTCTATCAGCTTCTGTTTCCAGGTGTTCAGTTTGTCTTTGATGAAGCTGAGAGGACTGAGGTTTCTCTTCATCATCTTCACTCTTCACAGGGACAGGAGTGAATGTGGACTTGGTGATATCAGCCTCCTCCAGCTCCTGAAGCTCTCCCTCCTGACTGCTCCAGAGTTCCTCCTCTTCCTCTTTCATGTGTGGGGGGGGCTCTGGGTCCTCCTGGTTCGGCATATGCTGGTTTTGATTTCCACCTTCCGTAAACAATTCCTCTCCCTGGTGATTGCTGTTGAATGTTTCACCACTGTGGAAAAATGTATGTTTCAAAAAGCTTAAATCATCGTCTTCTCTGTCTTCAGTGTCAGGTTCAGAAGAGTCTCCAGGGTTGTCCTCAGTCTCTGGTTGTAAATGTTTCTCTGGATCTGAGTTCCTGGCTGGTTCTGGTCCTCCACAGTCCTCTCCATCAGCTTCTGTTTCCATGTGTTCAGCTGAGCTGCTGGCTGGAGGCTCTGCCTCTCTGTTCTCCTCAGTTTGAGTTTGATGAAGCTGTGAGGACTGACGACCAACACACTTATGTATTTTGACCTGATGACTGCGTGTGAATCTTTTGTCACAAACACTGCAGTTGAATGGTTTCTCTCCTGTGTGGATTCTCATGTGTCTATTTAAATTTCCTCTCAGTGCAAAATATTTCTTACAGACTGAGCAGCTAAATGTTTTCGCTCCTGCACTACGTCTTGAATCACTGACAGGGTCTTGTTTATTTCTCTGAGAGTTTGAACCTGGTTCTCTGGTCTCCTTCCAATCAGCACTGTCTTCAGTGTCAGGTTCAGAAGAGTCTCCAGTCTCAGGTTCAGAAGAGCCTCCAGGGTTGTCCTCAGTCTCTGGTTGTAAATGTCTCTCTGGATCTGAGTTCCAGGCTGGTTCTGGTCCTCCACAGTCCTCTCCATCAGCTTCTGTTTCCAGGTGTTCAGTTTGTCTTTGATGAAGCTGAGAGGACTGAGGTTTCTCTTCATCATCTTCACTCTTCACAGGGACAGGAGTGAATGTGGACTTGGTGATATCAGCCTCCTCCAGCCCTTGAAGCTGCTCTCCCTCCTGACTGCTCCAGAGTTCCTCCTGTTCCTCTTTAATGTATGGGGGGGGCTCTGGGTCCTCCTGGTCCAGACTGGAGCTCCACTCCTGCTGCTCAGGGGGAACCTCTTCTTCAACCACCACCAGCTGCTGGACGTCTGCAGGAAACAGGAAACACATTCATCAGAATCGGTTATATTTACCAAGTAGGTTTACACAGGAATTTGCTTTAGTATATATGTGGTGCATACAAAGAAACAGAAAGAAGCATCTCAGACAAACTAAATAAAATACAAATAGGAATGTTATGACAGCTATTTAAAAAAAACTATTTAAAAACTACTATAACCAATTAACAATATTTACATGTGACAAATACTATACACTTTATTCAAAGTGGAGAACTGTGCTGATTTAAAAGAGGAAGTGTGCAGAACAGATGTGCAGCATGTGCAGGATTTACAATTGTCAAAAGAACAAGGTGTTGTTGACATGATGACTTTAAAAAAGGTCCCATGACATGGCCATTTCTACTGATCATAATTCCATTGTTGAGGTCGACTAGGATAGATTTACATTGTTCAATGTTCCAAACTCACATTGGTTTCTCAAACAGCATGTCTGTATAGTTTGTGTATTCACTCTCTGTCCTACACGCCTTGTTGGAGCTCCTGCGGAGTATTGCGGCTGAGAAGAGATAAGGCTGGATGAGTGTGTGTGTGTGAGTGAGGATCAATCCGCGGAGCTGTTACGTCAGTATACCCAATACGTCAGTATACCCAATACGTCAGTATACCCAAGAAGAAGAAAAATGGAAAAAGAGAAATGTCCAACGAGGCGTTCTGGGGCAGCACAGACAGGTCTTTTCTGTGTTGGAGTTGTACTCGCTACAGTGTGTACTTTGAGGGTTTGTGACTCTGCAGATCATTTACATGCAGAAAAAGCTACATAATACACAAGGGGACGGGTAATAACCGGAAAAGCATGACATCAACCAAGATGGCTGATGGTGTGTGTCGTGGCTCGGTAGCTCCTGGTTCAAACCACTGGCTTCGACTAAAACCTACAATATACAAGACTGTTGACGGCCTAGTTATTGTAGAGGATGAGTTACTTAACTTCCTGGCGGTTCAAATTAAAACTATGACCCAGGATGAGCTAGTCCTTGTAGCCTCCAACACCTTCGATTCCAAATGGATGGAGACTTCTAAAAAGACGTTGTTTGAACTCTGTCCTGAAACCAAGCAGCGGTGTGTGGCCTTTAAAGGCAACCAGAAGGATTCAACCAATATCAAATGCTGTCGAAAAGTGCTAAATGAATGCGGTGAAATCATCCCCCGTTTTGTTTACGTTTAACAACCTGGATGTGTCCAACCTGCTGAGCAAGATGGAGTGACTGCACAGTGAGGTTTGCGCGTTAAGACATGTAGTGGAAGTTCAGGCAGAAATCGGTGAGGACCTGCGTGCTGTGGCTGCGACCATGGACAGCAGAGTTGCTGCCGTAGAACGCCAGTTAGAGTCGAGTCATGGTGGAGGACTGGCTGTACCGAGTGACGCTGAAACCACCTGTGGGAGAGCTCAGGGTGATGGCCAGGATGGTGCGGTGTCGGTGAAGGATGCGAGCCCCCCCGGCTCTTCTGCTGATGTACATCCCAACTGTGTTGACCCGGTTGCTGCATCAGGGACCGTGAGTGCCTGTGTGAGCCCTGGAGGAACTGCTGTAAATTCGCAGATATGGAGACAAGTTGTGAAACAGGGCCGAGGTCGGAGGAATAAGGCAGAGGGCCAGTCTGCCTTATCTAAACAGCTTGTTGGGAAACCTATTGTTGGCACTGCTGCACAAGGGAATATAAAAGTGGTCCGTACGAAGTTGACGAGTTTTTGCTACCAAATTCTCGCCAGACCTTGATGCTGAGACACTGTCTGAATATCTAAGTGAAAAACTTGGCCGTGACGCTAACTGTCAGCGTATTGACACTGCGAGCAACAGATATAGCTCGTTTAAAGTGTGTGCTGAGTGCAATGAAGTTGCGGAGATGTTTAACCCATAAATCTGGCTCGGTTGTGAGGCGATATTATGAATGGGGGCTAGCAGAGCTAGACCTTTTTCTTGGGCAAGGGTACTGAATGGGGCTACGGCTGTACTGCTTAGCTAAACGTTATGCGGGTTGGATCATTTAACTGTCGCGGGCAGCGTTTGGGCAATCTGGCGTGCAGTGGTGGACAATTTGCTACAAAACTGTGACATTTTATGCTTGCAAGAAACTTTTTTACCAAAGCAGGATTTGGGAAAGTTGAACTCTCTTAATGACAATTTTCACGGGGCTGGTGAGTCCACTACGGACCTATCTCTGGGAATAGTGAGAGGAAGGATAGCAGGGGGCGTGGCTATCCTGTGCCACAAAAAGCTGGACGCTGTCATTAATGTCATCAGGCTTGAGGTTGACTGGTGTATTGCTGTACAGATCAAAATGAATAACAAGGAGTTTAGCATTCTCAATGTATATACACCGTATGAGTCACAGCATAATGAAGATGAATACCTGAACAGACTTGCTTTTATGGCTGATAATCATTCCACCAGTGTTTATGCCCATGACATTGTAAGATCAATTGAGATTGTGTATGAGGCATCAATGTCTGATCACATTCCTTTTGTAATGTCACTAGATTATGATAGTCTCCCTGAGATGTCTCAGGAGGTTAAAAATACCTGTAACACTAAAGTGGATGGGTCCAAGCTCACAAATGAGGATAGGCTATTGTACTATGGGAGAACTGATGTCCTATTGAGTGATGTATATCTACCCAAAGTAGCAACTCTGTGTATTGATGTGGGTTGTAATGAAAGCTCTCACCGTGAAGACCTCTGTAACATCTATGATTGTATTGTGGGAGCTTTATGTGAAGCCAGTAGTCCAGGGGTAGGCAAGTAAGTTTGGCCGTGGGCCAATTTTTTGCTGAGCCGCAAGATGGCGGGCCAGAACATAATCAAAGCCTAATTCAAGGAATTGATTTTGGTAAGAGGGCGCAGCGCCCCTGTTCGCCCAATCCAGAGCCTTTGGCTAGACCCGCCCAAAGGGAGGCTCGTCCTCTCTAGCCCCATTTCAGTCCCAAAGCCAGGGCTATTATCTGTATTTTAACAGACTTATCTTTTAAATTGAGGTGTATTTATTGTTCTCTTCAAAGTTTATTTTTCTCTGAAATTGTAGGGAGGATGGTCCTCCCTTTCCTCAATGGATGAGCCTCCACTGAGTAGAGTTATTAACTAGGTAGCAGTGTTATTTAACATACTTTTATTCTGATAAGTATTGTCAAGTTCTCTGGGTTTTTGGCATTTATTTGAGTGTTTGCCCACATTTGAGAGGCTTGAGGGACAACTGGAATCCTTTTTCCTTTTCTTTATTTCAACTTTTCAAGGACACATTAGGATTCTTTCAGGTTGAAAACCTTTAAAAAATATCAAAGGACAAAATAAATCAATTACAGCAGTTTTGCTTTGCAATTTAATATATTATAACCTAAATTAATCAATAACCAAGTATTTTACTCAAACTCAATGTATTTAATAGTTAAATAAGTACTTTAATTGACCTGGTTCCCCCCAACCACACATTTGCCATATGTGACCCGCTCTATCGAAATCAGTCGAAAGTCTCAACGGCTCATTTCAAAATAAACGTGGATTTGCGTAAAAAAATAGTTTTTCGGGGATCGGGTGTTTTGTTTGATTTTAAATAAACAAAGTCTTGGCTTTCAGAATATGGAACTTGTATTTCCAAAATCACACGATAAATACATGTTTGAAGCTTGTAAAGGGAAGATGACAGCTCTCCCTCGCCACTCTGCTCTTCCACAGCGCCGCTTCCCCTCCCTCCGCTGATATTATGAATGTAAGCGATATGTCGGGACAGAATTTATTTTACCGGACAAATTTGAAACTTACCGGTCATGTTTCAATAATAATAAGAAGAGTTGTGTAGCAGAGTTTCCGTTAGCAGGTAATCACCGGACTATGACCGGATATGCTGATGTTTAAAACTCAGTTAATGGGAGTCATTTTTATATTGCTTCAGTTTATAATCGTTACAGATCAAAAAATTCAGATTCATTTTTCAATAAATGATTCCACAAACAACAAACAACATAATTATTACATTCAAACAAACTACTTGTAGTAGATGAAGTACATTATTCAAAAGTTTACATTAACTTTGAATAATAAGACGGGAGAAACGGATCCTCTCTCCCTCCCTCTCTCTCCTGACAGCACGTTAGTTTCTCATGCAGCTCGCTAAACAGTGGGCGGGGCTTCAGGTGATTATACAGGGCTGCGTGTCTCCGTCAGACTCAGCAGCTGATCTGATCTCTCTCTCGCGTCCGGTTATATTATACTTCACTCGCGTTTATGTCCATATCGATCAGATCCAGCTCTCCTGATCTGGCTTTTTAGAGAGCACTGATCAAACTGATCAAGAGTGAATATCGGCCGATAATGACCGGCGGCCGATCGATCGGCCGCTAACGGAAACCCTGATGTGCGACTGTCGGTCCTATATTGTAAAAAAAAAAAAAAAAATCTCAAAATAATATTTTATTTTTGATTCTCAAAATTACGGGCCAAATATTATTGCTGGCATGCCAACAATGGCCCGCGGGCCGCCTGTTGCCGACCCATGCAGTAGACCGTGCTATACCTACTCTGGGAAGAGACACAACGTCAAGCCAGGGTGGAATGTGGCTGATCAATATGCTGAAGCTAACCCCTAGTTTCCACCGGGTCCGTCTGTGTCGTGTTACGGCCGCGTCGCGGCGTTCGCAAAGATCGCGGCCACTCTAGTCAATGGGTGCTATTCCACCAGACGCGCCGTGTTACGGCTCAGAAGCGTCCCAGAAGCGTCTCGGCCTTGGGCTCCGCTCAAAATAGGATTCAAGTCTATTTTTCGACACGACGCGTTGCAGAGGCGCGGGGCAGGAAGTGGACCCGTCAGAGCATCCAGTCAATCCCCAAAATAAACTAATTTTGCGGACACTATCCCTCCGTAGTCTTTCAAATAGGAGGAGAAATGCCAGCGTTCTCCTCCGGTTTACAGGCACTGTGTACATTTTATATAGAATAATTATGATGATGATCATGTCGTTTATAACTGGAATATTACAATTAACTTTGTCTGTACAAAGTAGCCTGTCCAGGAAATATGCCCAAATCAACAAAAACTGCGAGCCGGCAGGCAAGACGCTCCGCTTCTGAAATGCTTCTGAAATGCGCCCGGTAGGGTACTATACTTAATTGTGTTAAAAGTGACCCCTAGTGATGGCAGTTTCACACTGGAGCTTCGATACGTGCTTCAAACCCTGGACTTCCTATTCCATAGAAGCAGTGCTTTGCTTCAAATCCCGTGACATGTGACGTCCGAACCAGCAACTGCTTCATTTCCTGAATCAACTCACCGTCCAATCAGGTGATTCAATGCACTGCCTCGTCTCGATTCTGACAGGTGACAGGTTGAAACAGTTTCAAATTTGAGCGCTTCAACACTTTATAACCGCTCTAAACAATGCGCAATTTGTGGGTTGTTGTCGTAGTTTGCGTTGTTGCTGGTATTGCATTTTTATTGGATCATTATAGAGCAAGCCAAGAAGAAAGATAGGTCGTTGTGAATAAAAAGACAATGAGTATTAAAAAAAGTTGAGTAGTTAAAAGAATAGATAGCCCAGTGGCTAGAGCCGGCGGCCCGCATGCGGCGATGTCCTCCGCGCAGCTGGTTCAAAGCCTGGAATGGATGTATTTGAATCATTGCCCGCTTTTCAACTTTAATACTATAACTGATAAAAAATTAATTAAATAAGAATAATTACCTCAATTAAGATCTTTGAGTGTTCCCCATCCAACATAATCACCCCCTGCCATAATTACACAAGCACACCCAACCAATGCCACATTTTCCAGCACTCTCTTCTCAATAACCCAATTCACACAATTATCAATCTTTAATTGCAAATAGTCTTAGTGTGTGTGTGCATCGAATTTGTTTCAAGGCAAAGATACATTAAACCCACTGCAGCCTTGCACTTCGCCAGGAGAGGTCGCTGTAACTGAAGCTTCGCGAAATTAACCTATTTCCGATACAATTGTCCAAGTGGTTCGATGCTTCATTCAAAGCTTAATTTGCCCATCACTAGTGACCCCTATAAGGTTGGTAATGTAGTGAAAAGTGAAACAGTTGGAATCACAGCTAATGAGGTTTATCGAGCAATTGCACTGCTAGCTGATAACAAAGCAAGCGGCTCTGACCGAGTCACTGCAGAACACCTTGAACTGGCAAGCCCGAAGGTTGCAGTTGTTCTTGCCATTTGTTTTACCGGCCTCATGACTCATGATGTGTTGCCAGACTCCATGTTGACTGTTACCTTTAGTTCCTGTCATTAAGGACAAAGCGGGCAAGGTAGGGAGCTTGGATAACTATAGACCAATTGCTCTAGCCAGTGTGTTATCCAAAGTCCTGGAAATAATTTTGTTAGATAGACTATGTTCTTATTTATGTACCTCAGATAACCCGTTTGGCTTCAAGGCTAAGCATGGTACTGAGCTATGCATCTATGCTTTGAAGGAAATGGTAGAAACATATAGAAGACAGAATTCCACTGTTCTGATTGGTTTTATTGATGCGTCTAATCCCTAGATTCCACCGGGTCCGTCTGCGGCGCGTTACGGCCGCGCCACTCACGGCAATCGCGGCCACTCTAGTCAATGGGTGCTATTCCACCACAAGCGGCGCGTCAACCAATTGGTTTTCATAGACATTACTAAAATTCTAATAGTTGTTAAACTACTGACAAGTTTTCTGAAACCAAGCTTATGAACAATAGAGTAAAGGTCGCTGGTTAAGCCAGGATCAATATATTTATTGGAGTTTTTATTGTGTGCATAATAAATGTTTTAAATGAATTGAGCATTTTTTTTAAAAAGGAGTATAATGTTGCAATCTCTTTAAGATCAGTAATTGCAGTTTTAAAAAAAAAATAGATGTTGTTTTCCAAGGGCCTCTCCTTCACAGGCCCACGCAATAAATCATGAGACTTTGAAATCATGACAGACAGAGATCAGTATCACTTTGCGTTGCAAGCCAAAGCCATGTAGGGGTTCTACTCGAGCCCAATTTAAATACCATAAAGAAAGTATTGAACCCAGCTCAAGCTAAATGTATTAAATTAATGTACAAGTGTTTTTGATTTATTTAAAATGTTCCAGTCTAGCTTCCTTCGAGTTCAGTCTAAGCAACAAATTGTTTCTCATAACATTCTCACTGCAGTCCCAAATGTTTTCACACACACACACACACACACACACACACACACACACACACACACACACACACACACACACACACACACACACACACACACACACACACACACACACACACACACACACACAACACACACACACACACACACACACACACACACACACACACACACACACACACACACACACACACACACACACACACACACACACACACACACACACACACACACACACACACACACACCACACACACACACACACACACACACACACACACACACACACACACACACACACACACACACACACACACACACACACACACACACACACACACACACACAGAATTGTTGCCTTCTTTAAAGTTATTAGTAATTCAAGATTAATTATTAAATTAAATATGGTACATAAGATACAATAAATAAAATAACTTTGACTTGATACTTTTGTTCACAACATTAGACCTTGTCCTCTAATCTCTACTAGAATGAGATAAGTGTGCATGTTTTGGTGTTTTAACACTCCTGCCATGTAATCTTGTTATCCTTTTCATTACAGAGCTGGGAAAATGGTGTATTGATTAGATTCTGATTCGTGCACGTCCAATTTTGACTGACTTTACTTCTAATGTTAATGTTAATTTGCAAACCAAGCGGTGAACTCCGGGGCAGAGCCGTGAAGCCCAAATGTTGATCGTGTTGATCGTGTTGATCGAGCTATTACCCTGGGGCGGCTGCTATGGTGAGCGTTGGAGCGAGACGGGGAGGTTTTCCATTAAGCCAGAGGAGCTTCCGTGGGGCCCGACTTCTTTGTCCTTTTTCCTCCCGCGTCCGGGTTTGCGGGTAGCCGGCTGGAGCCGCTGACTCGAGCTGGGGATCGCCGCCTGTAGCTTGATCTGCGAGCCTGCGGAGCTGGTGAAGAGATAGGCCTGGAGCTGGAGTAATGCATTGCTGCTGCAGTTTGGAAAGGAGGAGATCTGCCTCTGCTGCTGGTGAGCTGCTGCGGGATACCGAGCGGCAGCTTGAGGAAGTTGCGTAGGGACTCAGGCGGTGTGTCGGGCCCGGATCAAGATCCTGCTGGAAGCTGGTCTGAGCACTATGAATCGGACGTCTTGAGAATCATAATACCATGAAGTACGAGGTTAGTTTGACGATTGCTGTCTGTGTGTTGCGTAGAGTCACCCGAAATGACAACTGTCAGAGAGGGGAGAGCAGATTTAAAAGGTTTGGCAAAGCGCTATGATAGGCTCTTGAGAATAGAGCGAAGTAATTGGTTAAGCTGGAGAGGAGAGAGAGTAGTTACGCAGGAATAGTGAATAGACTGTCTTCCTGGATGAACTTACGCTGAGCTTCACTTGTACCGCAGAGTTTGCAACGCCACAAATAAATGGTGCCAATCTTCAGTCAGATGAGACTGTGTACATTTTTAGTAAGAATAACGGACAAAATTTGTGGAAATACCATATGAGGAAATATGAACCAGAAGTTATCAAAGTTAAACCATCAGAAATGTTTTTAACAACATTTGGTCAAAAAGAGAGAGTGAATAAAGAGAGAGTTAGTAAAGAGGGAACAGACCTGCTCTGTGGATCTGAAGCTGAGGCTGTAAAACAGCGTCCAGTAGTTTCCGGTGTCTCTCGTTCTCCTGTTTTGAACGAGACAGTTCCTCCTCGTACTCTGCTATCGTTCTTTCAAACAGAACAAAGATGTCTTCAGCAGCCGCAGTGAGTCGCTGCTTCACCAACGAGAGCAGCACAACACTCATGTTTACTAAATCACCACTTCCAGTTGAACACACTGTTTCTCTCTGAAGCTTCAGTCTCTGTTGAACACACTGTTTCTCTCTGAAGCTTCAGTCTCTGTTGAACACACTGTTTCTCTGAAGCTTCAGTCTCTGTTGAACACACTGTTTCTCTGAAGCTTCAGTCTCTGTTGAACACACTGTTTCTCTCTGAAGCTTCAGTCTCTGTTGAACACACTGTTTCTCTCTGAAGCTTCAGTCTCTGTTGAACACACTGTTTCTCTGAAGCTTCAGTCTCTGTTAAACACACTGTTTCTCTGAAGCTTCAGTCTCTGTTGAACACACTGTTTCTCTCTGAAGCTTCAGTCTCTGTTAAACACACTGTTTCTCTGAAGCTTCAGTCTCTGTTGAACACACTGTTTCTCTCTGAAGCTTCAGTCTCTGTTAAACACACTGTTTCTCTCTGAAGCTTCAGTCTCTGTTGAACACACTGTTTCTCTGAAGCTTCAGTCTCTGTTGAACACACTGTTTCTCTGAAGCTTCAGTCTCTGTGAACACACTGTTCTCTCTGAAGCTTCAGTCTCTGTTGAACACACTGTTTCTCTCTGAAGCTTCAGTCTCTGTTGAACACACTGTTTCTCTGAAGCTTCAGTCTCTGTTGAACACACTGTTTCTCTGAAGCTTCAGTCTCTGTTGAACACACTGTTTCTCTCTGAAGCTTCAGTCTCTGTTGAACACACTGTTTCTCTGAAGCTTCAGTCTCTGTTGAACACACTGTTTCTCTCTGAAGCTTCAGTCTCTGTTGAACACACTGTTTCTCTGAAGCTTCAGTCTCTGTTGAACACACTGTTTCTCTCTGAAGCTTCAGTCTCTGTTAAACACACTGTTTCTCTCTGAAGCTTCAGTCTCTGTTGAACACACTGTTTCTCTGAAGCTTCAGTCTCTGTTGAACACACTGTTTCTCTGAAGCTTCAGTCTCTGTTGAACACACTGTTTCTCTGAAGCTTCAGTCTCTGTTGAACACACTGTTTCTCTGAAGCTTCAGTCTCTGTTAAACACACTGTTTCTCTGTGAAGCTTCAGTCTCTGTTGAACACACTGTTTCTCTCTGAAGCTTCAGTCTCTGTTGAACACACTGTTTCTCTCTGAAGCTTCAGTCTCTGTTAAACACACTGTTTCTCTCTGAAGCTTCAGTCTCTGTTGAACACACTGTTTCTCTGAAGCTTCAGTCTCTGTTGAACACACTGTTTCTCTCTGAAGCTTCAGTCTCTGTTGAACACACTGTTTCTCTGAAGCTTCAGTCTCTGTTGAACACACTGTTTCTCTCTGAAGCTTCAGTCTCTGTTGAACACACTGTTTCTCTAAAGCTTCAGTCTCTGTTGAACAAACTGTTTATCTCTGAAGCTTCAGTCTCTGTGAAACACACTGTTTCTCTCTGAAGCTTCAGTCTCTGTTAAACACACTGTTTCTCTCTGAAGCTTCAGTCTCTGTTGAACACACTGTTTCTCTAAAGCTTCAGTCTCTGTTGAACAAACTGTTTATCTCTGAAGCTTCAGTCTCTGTTGAACACACTGTTTCTCTGAAGCTTCAGTCTCTGTTAAACACACTGTTTCTCTCTGAAGCTTCAGTCTCTGTTGAACACACTGTTTCTCTGAAGCTTCAGTCTCTGTTAAACACACTGTTTCTCTCTGAAGCTTCAGTCTCTGTTGAACACACTGTTTCTCTCTGAAGCTTCAGTCTCTGTTGAACACACTGTTTCTCTGAAGCTTCAGTCTCTGTGAAACACACTGTTTCTCTGAAGCTTCAGTCTCTGTTAAACACACTGTTTCTCTCTGAAGCTTCAGTCTCTGTTAAACACACTGTTTCTCTGAAGCTTCAGTCTCTGTTGAACACACTGTTTCTCTCTGAAGCTTCAGTCTCTGTTGAACACACTGTTTCTCTGAAGCTTCAGTCTCTGTTGAACACACTGTTTCTCTCTGAAGCTTCAGTCTCTGTTGAACACACTGTTTCTCTGAAGCTTCAGTCTCTGTTGAACACACTGTTTCTCTGAAGCTTCAGTCTCTGTTGAACACACTGTTTCTCTGAAGCTTCAGTCTCTGTTGAACACACTGTTTCTCTCTGAAGCTTCCTGAGCTGCTGTTCAGCTGGACGGCAGGAAGCGGAGGTTTGGGAGGATGATGTCCCTGATGCTGTTTAGATTCCTCCAGCACCACGGGGGTCCTGTGTGGATGGCAGCTCCTTCCTCAGCAGATCCAGTTCTCCAGAATTGTCCTAATCACAGAGAAACAAGAGAAAAAGAACAACATGTATTCATCTTATTAACAAATGGTGATTGCAAAAGGATGATCATGACCATCCTTAAAGGATTATTTTAAATTCCGTACTGTTTTGGTTTTTAAAATGTCTATATAGGTATAGACATTTTAAAAACAATTCAGAGACATGTTTTGTATATATCTATACAAAACATGTCTCTGAAGTGTTTTGCTCAAAATACCAAACAGACCACCCTTTGTAGCCATTCCTCATACATTAGTTACACTGCAAAAAAAAAATCCCCACAAAATAATTACATTTTTTTTTTTTTTTTTTAAAATTGTATTTCATAATGACAGGAAATCATATTAAAATTACAAGAATAAACGGTTCATTAAAATGTGTCATGTATTTTAAGAAAATAAAAAATGTATAAATGGAATACATTACATTTCTGTTTTTAGCAGCTTTTAAAGTGCACCTATCTATTTTAGACAACTCACTCTTAACCCTAGATTCCGCCGTGTTACGGCTGTGCCGCGGCCACTCATTAGCCGCGTTCACACCGCGTACTTTGCAGCACTTAGTGCCCCGGCAATTATTACCCCAGGGCACTAAGTACCAATCGCGTTCACACCAGAGTGAGGCCCATTCCCAAACCGCCCCCTACACCCTACCCCTCCGTTTGCGCGTTCACGCGGAGGGTCCGCCATATTGAGGGCTGTTCCAAAGCAACGAGTGTGGAGGGGGAGTGGGCTATCAAGCCCTCAAACAGCGAGTCTGCAGCGGTGCTGACTTGAGACCGGTCTCTACCTGACCGGAGTCACGCTGTGTGTGTCCATCAGGAAACACGCTGTTTACAAGTAGTTCCAGCAAACATCCACTGATAAATTCCGATGTTAACAGCCTCATGATAACCTCATATGTTTTTAACTTATGATCATACCTGTGTTTAGTCCAGAAAAAGGTAAATGTGTGCATTTTATTATAAAGTTGTGTATATTTACAGACCGTTGCAAAAACTAAGAAGCTTATAAACATCAGGTTTAAAACTAAAAGAGCTTTGAAACACAATGAAAGATGTTTGGAGTTGTATTTGAGTTATTCATTTAAACTTTTTGTCTAAGAGATGCTGATCTGAAACCGTTGTTACATACAGTTACGGCATTTCCTGTTTCTGCCGGAGAGAGGGGAGGCCGTCCCAAAGCTTGCTGCTGTATTTACTCCCTCCCTCTGACAGGAGGAGCCTCGTTGAGCTGCGAGTGTGGCTACAGACGGAGTTCACTCCATCACGGAGGGGTAGGGTCGAGGGAGTGGTTTGGGATTGGGCCTACTTTTCCCTGAGGGAAGATTACGCATATGAGCCGCTGACGTCACTTCTTCTTCTTCTTCTGCTTTGGGTTTACTGGCAGGCCGCAAACAACTTCACGGCGTATACTGCCACCCGGAGTCCCCGGCCGGAAGTCCCCGGAGTTGGGGAAGGCTTCAAGACTCGCAGCAGCTTCTACTGAAGCCTTCTGAGTAAATCGCCAGAACGCCGACACCTCCTCATCTCCACCGCTCCCATGTTTTTGTTGTGTTGCCATAAGTTATTCTCTCTGCGTTGGTGCACGGGGCTAATGCTAATAATGCTAATGTCACAAATATAATGGCGGCTTCACAAAACTTTTCAGAGTTTTACGGGGCGTGGTTTGCAATTCGACCAACCAATCAGAACTGGGGCACTTTTTCCCCCCAGGAGAGTACCACCTCTCTAGCAGGCACTAAAAATGGGGGTAAAAGTTCCCAGCACGAAGTACTCTTTTTGGTGTGAACGCAGTTTTGTACCTGCTGTGCCCAGAGTAAAATGCTTTTGTGAGCACACACTAAAGGGGATCAGGCAACACCAGTGTGATTTTGGTGACGGTGTGACTCTCCTGGACAAAGTTGTAGGGGGGGTGCCATATCTGGCAGGAGAAATACCTGCTCTGCTGAACATGTTATGGAGAGAACAGTGCAGATCTTCCCTATTGACACCAGGAAAAACCTAGTCTAAAATAAGGAACATTAATAGTGTGATATAGGCACAGATATAAGATCAATAATACACTTTATTTTAGGGCACCTTTCAAAAACATTCAATGTCACTTTAAAATAAAAAATAAAATATGAGTGGCATTACAATACAAACATGTGTTGAGTAGGAAACCACAGAGGAACATTACATTCAAAGGAGCAATTAAAGTGAGTGAAGCCAGTTTGAACAAATTATCTTTTAGGCTTGATTGAAAATAACAGTGTCTGACATTATCATATATGTTATATCATTGCTTACTATTCATGGTTATCAAGTATCAGACACTTAAACAACAGAGAAGGTTTTAAGAAATAGGACTATACTGACAAATTACATCTTATCCTTTCATTGTCTGTTCTGTGGGAAGGAGTGGGACTACACTTAAAAACGGAAGTTTGTTACAATACGAAGATTGTGTCCTTAAAACGAGCTTTTATTCAGCCGTTTGCTGTTTAATCTGATGGGAAATATATCATTCAAAAGAGCAGTGGCGGTTCTAGACCAATTTGACTGGGGGGGCCACTGGGGGGCCAGTTATTTTCTGAGGGGGGCACAATAAATGCAGGACGAAAAAGAGAACTAGACAGTATGAAGTAATTGCGCATAAGAAAACAATGCAATACAGTTATTGGTATTTGTTTCAGTACACTTGTTTATTTCAGATAGATCTTATAGTTATTACTGTTAGCTTCAGCTTAAGTTATAGTGCAATGTTTGCACTAACACCATATTTATATAAAAATAAAGGCAATGAACAGTTACATCTCTACTTTACATAAGGGTGTCTGCATCCCAGGCTGTAGTTTCCTTCCCAAAATGTCACATTACAAACAAAATCCTGCGGTTTTTGTGATTTTTGGCA